ACGGAGCGGTCGACAAAGGCGCGGCGCTTCGTGGAGACTTTTGGCGTCTCGAGGGCCATGACGGCGATGCCCATGGTCACTAGACAGATGAGAGCTACTGTCCGAACAGCCCAGGAGAAGCCGACGGCACTCTGTAGATTCCGGAATACAACGGGCAGGATGAGACTGGTCATCTTAGCTGTTCATTCAGATCTTCATATTGAGAAAAGAAAAAGGACGACGTACCCTCCTACACCACTGCCTGATGCAGCCACGCCGTTCGCCAAGGGTAGGTTGCGGTCAAACCAGAGTGAGGGCAGAGCAACGCCGAGAACGGCAAGACAGCCCATGCCGATACCGATGACAACGCCTTGAGACAGTAGGAGCTGCCACAGCTTGGTCGAAAAGCTCTGCGCAACGGTCCCCAGCACGATGAGTAACGAACCGAGCCACAGTTGCTGGCGGGAGTAGCCCAAGTCATAGACCGGGCCGGCCACGAATCCCAGAAACACCATCAAGAAACTCTGGAGAGACCCAATAGTTGATATCTCGAAGGGGGTGTGGTAGCGGAGAAGATCCTTCTCATAAAATGCCTGGAAGCTGCCGAAACTCGAGATGAGCCCTGGAGGCGTCAGCATGAAGGCACATCATATAACGACTCTCGTCACCAAAAGTTTGGCTTGAGACATCTTTAAAAAAATCCAGAACTTACCCCAGGTATTGAAGTAGATGAAAAACGCCCCAAGCACTTGAAGCCATGCCTTCAGGCCCTTGTTTGGGCGCTGCTGCGGCTTTGGGGGTTGTTCTGCTGGCACGGCGTCATCTGGCACTCCCATTTTTGGTTCATTGTGCATCAGCACTTCTCCAGCTTGAACTCCGTCTTGTGCAGACGGCATACTCAGTTTTGACCAGCGTGGCTTCAATCCAAAGAGTACGACGCATAAGGCCTCCAGAACCCGGCGTTCCAGGTACAGACATCCACCCGTTGCGGTAGAATTCTGTCGACCATTCGGCCTTGGATTATTCCCAGTCAGGTAAGCTCATTAATGATTCCTGATTGAGCCGGGTCTCGGCACTGCAAGTTTGTAAAGAGCATGGAACACCCAAGGCGGTCGGTCGGTCTCATCACATCATCACGAAAAGTGGCAACGGAAAACGCCCAACTCGGAAGGTTGCATTGTGGAACTGGCTTCCCCCCTGGCGTGTCCTGCGACCCCGTTCAAAAGCAGCACCGCCTGTGACGCCAGTCTGCTGCCCATGGAATCCTCGATCAGAGAGATAGGCGTGCATATCATGCACACTGACATGTGTAGAGCATGTGGTGGGGGGGGGGGGGGCTAAATGGTGTCTTCAGTAGGCCAGTTGCAATACCTGGTGGTGTGAGAACCTAGTTCCATGGCAGTGAAGGATTAGGCCAGGATCTCGCTCGCACACCGAGTCAAGATGCCGAGGCTTGGCAAACCGCGCGGCAATCTCCTTACCACTAACAGCGCCACTGACATCGTTTGCCTCAACGTCGTTGCGGGTTTTCCCCACGCTTTAGTGCTGTTTCGAAATGCGCGAAGAGGTTGCGCGAGGTGCAGTAGAAGCTTACTGCTAGCACCCAGAGCTATGTGCCTCGGCCAAGGCATATTGGCTAATGCTGATGGCGGTAAGGGCCTTTCCCCACGGCGACGAGACTTGGCAGAGCTTAACTCCTCGGAACCAGAGTTAGGATCACTGTAAGCGTTTCTATACGTTCGAGCTGTTTGGCTTATGTTCAGAACCGTCAATCTAGCATAGCTCGGAGAACGCTTCGGAATGCTTCCCGATGCAAAGGGCAAGCAATCATCGGCGATTGTCACTGCGGAGGCAAAGCCCAGCGAAGAAATGGCCTAATCTTCAAACGGCCTCTAAGCCGCTTCAATTTGCCGCTTGACTCGTGCTGTCTACGTCAAGTATGAAAGATAATTCCTCCACTCCTGGTCGTTGTTCCCAACGAAACCGACGTACAAGTCGGGCCGGACAATGACCACATAGTTGTCTGTTGGGCGAACCCAGTTGGCCCAGAAAACCTCAACGCCTGGAGAAACATCGGCGTGCGCCTCAGCACCCTCTGGCCGGGGGAGAACCCTGAATGTGCGGGCGACGCCGTCGCTGATAGCCTTGTTCGCTTCCCCACCGGCCCGCGACTCGGGCCTTCCGACGTGCAGAATCAGGTGTCTGCCGTACGAGAGAAGAGAGTACAACCGCTTGGCCTCAGCGTCTAGCGTCGGCATCAGGTACAGATCAGGGCAACGGTGCCCCGCCGTCCAGATGCCAACGGAGGAGTCGTGGATAAGCTTTGAGCCGATGCCATCGTAAGATACCCCCATGCCTGAAGCATAGCACGTCAGTTTAGAGAATTACGTATCGTGCGACAACAAAACTGGAGAGGTCGGGCAGAAGAAAGCGAAGACGAGAACTTGGGCTTACCAGTGATGTAGCCGGCGTTCCTCTCAATTGCGGAGACATAGCTCTTCGCAGTCCGCACAGTCTCCCGAACCAGGGTCGCTGCGACGTCGATCACACCCTGGGCAACGACTCGTCTTTCGGAGTCATAGCTCTTTATCAGATCCTGCGCCGCCGTCTTGTTGGCCGTCTTGTTGGTGAGCACATATGCGAGTCGCCATGCGAGACCGAAGGCGTCGGCGATACCCGTGTTGAGGCCCTGTCCGCCATTGACCGAGTGGACATGAGCTGCGTCGCCAGCCAATATGACGCGGCCTTGGCCTTCCTTGGTAACAAACGTTGAGGCGATGCGCTCCTTGACTGTTGTTCGGCGTTAGCGATTTCAGACCTCAGAGGCTTGTTTCTCCTGACGTCCACGCGAGATGTCAGATCGATTCGTGTACCCACCTTCAAACGTACTGAACCACTCGGTCCAGACAAAGTCGACCCGGTGTGGCGCCATGTGTGCCCGGACCGACTCCTTCGCCCTCTCCTCGGTGATTTCTCCCTCGAGAAGGACATAGAAACGAGCCAGGTCCCGCTCCCGCGGGATCCACGCCACGCGGCTCTCCTGGTTCAGCTGAAACGTGACGATCTCCGAACAGACGGGGAAATCAGTATCGATGAACGCGTCCAGAACGGCCCACGTCATCCCAGGCTTGGTGCCGGTAAAGTTGACGCCCAGGGCCGTCCTGATGGTCGACCGTGCACCATCTGCGCCGACCACATAGCGACTGCGAATCGTTCGGCCGCCACTCGTCCCTACGACGACGTCCTCGTCACCCTCATTGATACTGGTAACGTGTTCACCGTAGAGCACGGGTGACTTCATCCGTGATGAGAGAGCCTTTTCCACCAGAGGCTGGCCGAGCATCAAGAAGTTTTTGCGATGGGTGTGCCTCAAGCTCGTCCACCAGTGGCTCTGACGAGACTTGAATTCACCATCAGCAAAGGTCGAGCTGGCTGGCAGGAGCGTTAATGAATTAATTGCTCAAGGCTCTCTTGGGAAGTGCGCAAGCTTTATCTTACTGTTACAGGTGATACCCTCGGGGAGAAGCTCGTCAAGGATACCGACGACCTCGAGGTACTGTTGCGTTCGGGCGTTGAGAGCATCAGCCCTGCCAATGGCAAGAGGTGCTGCCTTGGCATCTACGGCTGTCAGTCTTGTACTATTTCTTCCGCAGCTTCATGAGGAGATTCCAACTCACCGAGAATACACACGTTTACTCCGAGCTGCTCGCACAGATATCCTGTGAGGAGGCCTGTCGGGCCGCCGCCGACGACCACAAGATCCACGTTGATTTCGTCTCGCGAGATTGAGCCCATGATGATAGAAGTGTTGTGTTGTTTCTTGCAAGTTCACACGCGAGTAACCTCAGAGGCGTCTTTGAAAGCAAGGTCATTCAGTTTCTGACAGCCAATCTAATACGGAGATGCTATGAGCAGTATCGTGAGCCATCCATGTGGCGTCGTCGCATGAGTCGTGCTTGTGACGTTGCCCTACTTGAGATTGAGGAACCTCAACCCAGACTGGACATGACGCCGAAGTCCGCAGTGGTATCGCCAGCCCGATGTGGAGAGTTCCGGCACGCGGATTCCGCCTTGGGGGTCCCTGGGGTGGCCAGTTTGAACCCTTGGTCCATTCGTATTACACCGACGAGGGCCTAGTTCCAGGGCCAACATGATCTTCATCTTAGATCACGCATGCCAGGGAACACTGCAATGTGCCCGCCAAGGTTCATATGCACATCACTCGCACCTTGGGTTGATCCCAAACCGCAACCCACTGTAACCCTGGTGCGCTTTGGGAAGGTGTCCCGCCGCTAGATTCAGTCACGGGCGCTTCCGGTCCGGGAAGGTCTAGCGGAAATATATCGGAACGCCGAACCCAAGTACCGCGCGCGCCGATCACATTCGGAAGGTGGGACGATACCAGCCGTTCGCTGCCCATCTGGAGCTTAGTTTGTTCATGTCACCTTCGTAGATCCTCTTGCACGTCACACCTCCAGGTTCCAGGCTCAGGCTCTGGCTCTTGGTCTGTGTTGCCACTCACAGTTGGCCGCAAGGCTTGCTAACCCTATCCCTGACACTGCGTGTTTTGAGGACCCCCACAGCACCACCCTCTCGGAGGAGATGAAGGCAGATTTTCCTGTGACGGCAAGTTTGCCGGCAACTCCATTCAGGGGATGACGCTGTGGATGTCTTCGAGTTGCTGGTTGGATCCCATTGTGGCGCGGGTGACACCCACCTTTGACTCGTCTTCCTTGACAGGCTGTGAAGCCCTATGAGGCTTGTGGGCCATGTTGTGCCTAGCCGCTTTACTTCAGGTAAGCTGGGTGTCTTTGGGCTCATGGGAGGGATGTCATGCCCTCGGATTTCAAGCAGAGTAGCAACTTGTTCATATCCACTATACATATGTGACATTTTACTTACCCTTACCCGACTTGGTGCGCTGCCCCAGACCAGACAACCTGACACTTCATTTTCTATTCCCTCAATACTCATCTCCAGAGAGCTGTCTCAGAAGCTCATACAGGTCCTGTTCAGAAATCATGCCTTCCCTGGTAGAGGCCCGTCCCAGGCAGCCGTCGCCCGAACTCAAACTGCTGTCAAGTCTCGACACTGGTTTCGGCGAACAAGGCCTGGAAACTGCTGCCAAGGTCCTCGACGTTATCTGCCAGTATCGGCTGAGAAGGGCTGAGCACTCAGAGGTCCCTGATATCGAGGGTAGACTAGGCTTTTTGTCCATGGTTTATGGACATGTCAGGGCCAACTCCCCCATCCTCATGTGTCTGCCCGCCTTCCCTTTCAAGTCGCCCAACTCTCGAGACAAAGTCCTGGGCCGCCTGCCCGATAAGGCCGAGGAGTTTGCCCTCGCTCATCTCAATGGTCTCTGCGCCGCCGTCGGAGACATCTATGCGCCAGGCGCAAAGCTCACAATCGTTTCCGACGGACTGGTATATAACGGTAAAGCTCCAGTGCTCCCCTAAATCATCGCCCCAACCGCGTGGCTGACCAGTCATCCTTAGACCTGCTCAGCGTGCCGGACCGCGATGTCTGGGCCTACGGTGAGGCACTTCGTCAGATGGCCTGGGCCAAAGGGTTCGAGCACATCAGATTCTCGCGGCTCCAGGATCTCGTGCACCTGCCCAACCTGCCCAGCTCGCTGAATGAGATCACATATGTCGCAAACGCCACCAACTTCCGTCGACAGCTTCTCAACACATTCGGCCGCAGCGACTACGACCCCTCAACAGAAATTACCAAGAACGAAGACACCTGTCAAACATATAGAGGGTATATCAAGTTCCTCGAAACCGATCTTGCGCTCGTTTATCCAGTCGGCGAGGACAACGGACGTTCCAAGTCCAGCTACAAGAAGGGGATCGAGTACATCTCGAAGCAGATGCTCCAGCGCGGTGACGTGCGTCCTCCTTCCTCACAGAGTGTCGCTTCTTGGTTTAACTGACCTGGTCATGGTAGGCCTTTGCGCGTGCTGTCCGCGAAAACTATCGCGATCACTTGCGCCTCTCCATCCACCCCTCCACCGGCCGTACGAAGCTCTCCATCAACACCCTGCCAACGACAACGAGCTACACCACGCCATGGCACTGCAGCATCGCATTCAGGCTTGACGGCTCCTCGACCACTGGTCCTAGGGCCGTCTTCGACAACGACCCCGCTTACGAGCTGGTTCTGGAGGATGGCAAGCCCAGCTACTACCGCGAGCGGAGCGATCTCTTCGCATGGGATGCGGACGTCGCGTACGAGCCTCTGTACCCATCCGGTTTGATGATCCGACCCGCGGCAGGGCCCAAGACTCTGTCCATTCGCAATGTCGACGCCGCCAAGGTGCGCGCGCTATCGGAGCGCAACTCGCCCGTCATCCTGCGCGGTTTCACGGAAACGAGAAATCGTGACCTGTTCGTGGACAAGGCTCACGAGTTCGGAACGCCGCTGCCTTGGAAGTTCGGACTCGTGCTCGAAGTCAAGGACCAAGGAGCCGACTCTCGGGGCCTCAATAACGTCCTCTCAGCCGAATGGATGCCTTTCCACTTTGACGGGCTCTTCAAGACAGAGAAGAAGGTGCTCGAAGACGGCACGGAGAGAATGCTGCCCAACCCTCCAAAGTAAGTCCCAGTCATCAAGGAGATTACACTGCAAAATCTGTGAAAGACAAGAGGCTCACATGCGCATGGCCACAGGTTCCAGTTCTTCACCGCCGTCACCCCCTCGCCAAAAGACACAGGCTTCACCCTCTTCACACCCTCGCGCCTCGTCTTTCAGAATCTGCCCACCTGGCTGCCGCTTGCGCGCCTCTCGCAGCTGACCTGGCGCGTCTCAACCTCATCCTTCAACGCCACAACCATGACGGGCCTGCCACTCGTCGTCCCCCACTCGACGACGGGCGAGCCCTGCTTCCGCTACCACGAGCCCTGGCCCCAGAGCAAGACGACGTTTGACGCCACCGACGTTGCCATCGAGGGCGTCTCAGCCGAGGAGAGTGCCGAGATCTGCGCCGTCCTCGACGCGCTGTTGCACGACAGGCGGAACACGCTCTGGCACTCGTGGGAGAACGGCGACCTGCTCGTAAGCGATAACATGCTGGCCATGCACACGCGGAGCGACTTCAAGTCGGGCGCGCCGCGGGAGCTTTGGAGGATCCATTTCGATTAGGCGTCGTGCATTGTGCCGAGGGCTCTGTTTGATTTGTTTGATTTCGATTCTCTCGTCAATGTCATTAGCAGCAGGGGCGTTTTGCATGAGCGAATGGACTTCGTGAGGTCGGCTGACTGCGCCTTCTAGATCATATAGCAAGGAGACGTCACTTCGCTGAAATCATACGCGTAACGCTATTGTTGTGAGAGGGAACATGCGTGAGAGATCTGGCCGTCAGCGTAAAGACTGGCCCGAAGAAGCAGATTAGGAGTCAGAGCCTAGAGCACGCCGAGTGCGGGCTTGGCACTCTGATGCAGTATATAAGATACCTATCCTATCCATGTTCACGATTGACAAAGAAAACACCGGGTGTTGCTTCGTCCGTCAACAAGATGGTAAGGAAGACGGAGCCGTGGTCGAACATTCCGATGCTGCGCTAACCGAGTTAATCCACTCGCAAAGATATTCGTCTAAGCGAGACTATCCTCTCGTTTAGCGACACCCCGGTCAATGCACTTCTTCATCTCCCACAGTTGAATTTTCTGCGCCTGATCCAACCTCTCGCTCCTCTCACCTCCTCATCCACACCCGACCATTCGTTGTCAATAGCGTCTACATCTCAGGGCGTAACCCCCAGGAGCAGGACGATGTCGTGAAGCTCGTTGAATGGCTCGTGCAACATCTGCCCCCAGCCCAACTCCTTAATGCAGAGCGGACGCTGGGACTGTGAGCTTCCCGCAGCTTCCAATCTGAAGCGAACCGGCCAAGCGGCCGACCCCCGGACTAGAATTGCGCCGTTCGACACTTTCTTCCATGTCGTCTGGCTCTCATAAAATCCGGAGACGAACCGATACGCACCATATTTCTTTAGATCATCTGCTCGATGCCATACGCGATTGATCCTATACGAGTGGTGTACATGCCTTGACGCGCGTTGTAGGAGCACAGCTGACAATGTCGTGATCACCTCGATGTGTCGTGCTGGTGTTACCTTGCAGTGCAAGCACTTGCCTCGATGCCTGTCGCTTGTTATCTTCTCCTCGGGCTCGATGCCATCAAAAGTGATAACGTAGAGCTCTGGAAATCCACATCACGAAAAGTTGGTCCATTCAACATGATGCAATCACACAGTTAAACAAAAGATTGCGCAGTGGAGGAGAATGACTCAATAAGTCTATCTGCTCAGAGAACCGCGCTCGCCAGTCGCAGCCGCTGTACACATCACCCAGTGCACCATGCCAGCCCAACCAGCCCAAAAGCCGTTCATCTAGCGATCTCACCCCAACTTTTTGTTTGTTTTTCCGAAGTAATGTGTTGTGTGGTCGTGTGCCGTTGTGGGTATCATTTGCGCAAAGTCGAAGCCACTCCGTCCGCACCATCCCGAATGCCGCCAACGGGGTATGGCCCAATGTCGTAGTAATGATACCGCAGTATCGCCACAGGACGCACCCTGCTTGCCGAGCCCGTGCCAGAGAGTCGTCTGTTGGCAAAACTCATCAATGCAGTATCGATGATGCCACGAGCACCGCCTCCGACCCTTGAGCTCCCATGCTTGGGCGACTACCTGTGTGCCAGTCATCATCCGTCCACCTCGCTACATGGCAAAGCCAAGTCCAGCTCCATCCATCCCCGTGAGATTCTGCCACAAAATCAGAGCCAAGGCCAGCCAAGGGTGGCCTTCTCGATCATATCTCACTCAACCTCCTCCAAAATCTCCATCGCCGCTGGGAGAAAACCATTCCCCCCGTGCAGTCAAAACAATGCCAGATCTTGACCGAGAACGCCGAGCTGAGTCTGTCAGCCCCTTCCTTTGAAAACGCCTTTGAGCATGATCATGAGAATGACCAAGAAGCTTCTACCACGACCGGGTAGAGAGCTCCGCCCATAAACCCATGCCGATGCCGTCCCATGCCATCCAGTCGTGACAAGATCGTGTCAGGTGAAGTGTGCAGCGTGGTGAACAGTCAAGAGTGCAATACCCTTGCCGAACAGCCCGCGCTACCCCTCCCGTTGCGCTACGCTCGCAGACGCACAGCCAGCGCCCCATTCCCATCTCTGTCCCCGACGACCGCCCATTATCCGAAATTTCATCCTGTCCGCAGTGGACATAAAAGTCGAAGTTGCCGAGCCGTAATCGACAACCGAGTTGGTGTAAGCCGTCATGTATATGTGAAGGTGCCTTTCCATGGCAGCGCGCCTCGGTGGTGCTGGAGCCTGCCGACCCAACCAGTCGCGTTGAGACCCCAGCCGTCAAGGAATGGCCCTCAAGGACCAGCCATCAGCTAGTGGGAACAAAAATATGTACAATCCAACAATAAATGCAATCGTGTAGGCCTCATCAACCTCCTCCCCAAACGCCGTAAAATGACAGGTGTCAAGGCGACACTAGGCCTGCTGGGGCAGCTGGCCCTGGCCGCCGGCGCCACCTCCGCGACCGCGGTAGCCACCACGTCCACGGTTCTGGCCCTGGTAGCCACCGCGGCCACGACCCCTGCCACGCCCCTGGTAGCCATTCTGCTGGCCGTTGGGGTTCTGCTGCTGCTGCCAGTTACCCTGGGCAGGGCCAGCGAAACCGGACTGCTGCTGCTGCTGCGGCGGCTGGGGCTGAAGCTGCTGCTGCTGTTGGGGCTGCTGGCCAGGTGCTTGCGCCTGCGCGGGAGCCTGCTGAGCCTGGCCGGTCCTGAAATTGGAGACGGGACGGGGAATAGACTCGGGGTTCTCGTAAACATACAGGGCCTTGTCGATGCTGGCAGGAATCGGCTGAATTTCCGTGCCGAGGTCCTTCTCAATGTTGTACAGGTTGAAGCGGTCTTCCCAGTTGATCAGGTTGATGGCGAGACCAAGGTGACCGTAACGACCAGATCGACCGATGCGGTGCAGATACGTCTCAGCATTCTTGGGGAAGTCAAAGTTGATGACGACGTTGACAGCCTGAATGTCGATACCGCGAGTGAGGAGATCCGAGCACACGAGGTTGCGGCACACGCCGTTGCGGAAATCGTGGAAAACGCGGTTGCGAGCCTGCTGCGCCATCTTGGCGTGAGAGTAGAAGCATGAGTAGCCCAGCTCGGTGATCTTCTTCGCCAGCAGTTCGACACGGTTTGTTGAGTTGCAGAAGATGATAGACTGGTTGATTTGCAGCTTGGAAAACAGCGTGTTGAGGCAGTGAACCTTTTGCTTCTCCTCGACAAAGGCATAGTATTGGGTGATACCACGGAGAGTGAGTTCGTCCATGAGGTTGATTTCGTAAGGGTTGGCCATGTTCTTGTCAGAGAAGTCCTTGACCGACAAGGGGAAAGTCGCGGAGAAGAGCATGACCTGGCGATCCTTGGGATGGAACTGCAACAGCTGCTCAATGACGGGAGTGAACTCAATGGACAGGAGCTTGTCTGCCTCGTCCATGATGAACATGGGACACTCGCTCAAGTCGGCGACGGTCTTGCCTGCGAGATCGAGAATACGGCCAGGGGTTCCGACAACGATATGCACGGGGTCCTGCAGACGGATAATGTCGTCGCGAAGGCCAGTGCCACCAGTGGTAACCATGACGTTGATGCCGAGGTGCTTGCCGAGCGTCTTGCAAACCTGAGATGTTTGCATGGCGAGCTCGCGTGTGGGGACGAGGATGAGGCACTGGATTTTGGAGACTTTGGGGTTGATCTTTTCGAGGGCAGGGATGACGAAGGCGGCGGTCTTGCCGGTACCGTTCTTGGCGCGGGCTAGGACATCGCGACCGGTCAGGGCGACAGGGATGGCTTCTTCTTGGATGGGCGAGGGCTTCTCGAAACCGGCCTCGAAGATTCCCATCAGCAGATCCCTCTTCAGTTGGAAGTTCTCGAATTCCAGACCTTTCGTGTTTGTGACATCCTGAAAGTGTAAGAGCACCGCTTTCCCATCAGCTAGTCCTGGCACCTACCTCAGTTTGTTGCCTGTTGTCTTTCGCTGGCAGCTTGAGGTTCTTCTTCCAGTCTTCAGACGCGGCGTCGCTGGCCAAGACTGTCAGCACGGGACGGAGCCGAGTTCACAACGGGAGTGGCAAGCTTACTTCAGGGAGGTCCCCTTCAACTGGTCTGCGAGTGCGTCTGACATTTTGGTCCGGTGTTTGTATGTGATATGTTGTGGGAGTCGAGAGGGAGGAAGTCGTTTAGGATTTGGTCTTGTGCGTGGGGGGGCGGGAAGGCTGTGGCCCGCTAACAATCACGAGGAGAGGTCGGCTTGGCGCAGAATGAGGCCGCCAGTGAAGTTTTTGTTGGTTGTTGAAGCTCTGGGGAGAGACTCGAAATTGAGCGGACGTCGAAGACGTTTGTTGCGTGGTATCGGGCGGGTGTAGGGCGGCACCGTCGAGAGGGAGGTGACCAGGGCGGGCGGTAGGCAGGAGATCACAAGGGAACCAAAGGGCAGGATGATGCAAGTCTCGGATGCAGAGAGCTAATTGAACTTCAGCCGCGAATTGTGACGTGTCAGACGATTCGTTGTTTTTACGGTTGATAAGGAGTCGATCTGTGTCTGCTCACTAGTAGGTGGGGTGAGGATTGTCGCGGCGTGTGTGGTGATCGTGGAGAGGTGATGTAGTAGAACGGGTTCTGATGGTTGTAGGGGATCAGGTTTGACGTTCGCACCGGGCTTTTCGTCGCTGTCCAGCGGGTCCTCCAATGGTTTGGGCCAGGGAGCTTCGGGTGCGTTGGGTCACGTGATGTTAAAAGGGAGGAATGCAGTGGAAGCGGGGCAAGGGCCTTGCGTCTTCACGAGGGTTACCAGGTAAGACCTTCTACGTGGTGTGTGCATGTGTCTTCGCACAAGGCTTGGCAAAGCCCTGGAGCACGACAGTACCTAGGCAAGGATGTTGGAACGAGGGCTGGGAGCAAAGTTCAATGCCTTCAGCCAACAACGTGTGCTTTGCATACCTAGGTACATCTTGGTGGACCTGTTCGCCTGCCGCCTCTCAGCTGGTATACAAAAAGCAATCTTCGCCTCAGCTAAGGTACCTACGTTAGGTACCTAAAGTACCAGGTCAGGTAGGTCAAACAAGCAGAGAATTGATCGACAACCCATTGGACGTTCTTTCTACTATGAATAAAGCACCCCGACGCCTTGACCAGCCTGATTGAATGGACGAACTGATTATGCGAGAAAGTGTAATGGACTGAGTATACCCAGTAAAGTTGTTGCACCATCAGATCGGCCAATCGCTGCCGTCTTCGGAGGTCGGGGCGGGGTTGAGCAAGAATGCGTATGTTCGAGTTGGGCGCTAGTTACTGCCAGTGTTCCATTTGGTACCTCGCCGGGTACCTAGTGCCTGGTAGGTGCTACCCTGCCTTCGGCAGCGACCGCAAGTGTCGCGCGACCATCGTCACTCCGCCCATGTAGCCATCACCGTCCCAATCCAAATCAGACCATCGAGACTTGCACCCCTTCATCAACTCGCGAACCACACAATATGCCCGCCAGCCATCGAGTCTGGTCATGAGCTTTCACCCTCCCGCGTCATGGCCTCAAACCTCGCCTCGAAGACCCTTTACTCCAGCTGCTTGCTCCTTTCGAACCCCACCACATCTATAACGTCATCATGTAAATGGCACACCTCGACCAGAGGCACCGGCTCTCAGCAACCATCCAGCCCGCTTGCCAGCCAACGATCCTATGCTACAGCACATGACAGCCGCGCCGCTCACCATCGTTGGCCCTCGCACTCGAACCCAACCCCCTACGACATCTTCGCCATCGACAAGGCAACCCCCTACACCAAAGCACGGTTCTACGAGCTCGTCAAGCTCTACCACCCCGACACCCATCCCCGAGAAGGAGGGCATGCCGCGCTCCGGGGCCTCACCGGCCTCCCCGCCGCCGTCCGCCTCGAGCGGTACCGCCTCATCGTTCTCGCCAACACGATCCTCAGCGACCCCGAGAAGCGCCAGGCCTACGACGCCCACGGCGCCGGCTGGGCCCTCGACCGCCGCCCCGCCCACGAGAGGGCCCGCGCCGCCGACCGCCACTGGCGCACGAAACCCGGCAACGCCGCCAACAATGCCACGTGGGAGGACTGGGAGCGGTGGCACGCTGCACGCGATGGAAACGCCATGCCGCAGCAGCCCGTCTTCATGTCCAACACGCACTTTGTCGCCCTCATCCTGGCTGTCATTGCCATTGGCAGCGCCATGCAGGCGTCGAGGGCCGGCGAGAGTGCGGCTCACGTTGTCGAGCAGCGCGGGCTCCAGGAGCTCGCCATCAACGAGGCCCTGCGGCGGCAGGGCCGGGAGACGGCGGGCAAGGGGAGGGAGGAGAGGATCGAAAAGTTCCTGCGGGAGCGTGACGGCTGGGCATTTGACGTAGCGGCTGCGAACCACGGGGCCATTACGCCCAGGAAGGAGTGTCACGATTAGCACTTTGTATACATGGATCAGGTTCTGGGGGAAACACAGGCGTTCGGTTGACTATTAGGTACAGACTGTACATGGAAAGGTGATTACATAGGTAGTTGAGTCAGGCGTCATCTTACAGTGAACTTTCTTCCTTCTAAACAAGTTCAAAGAAGTTCCTCGACTTTAGCCCGCATGAATTTCTCCGCATTTGACGGATCGATCCTTTCGGTGGCCCCTAGGCGAAGCATCTTGCCCACGAGATACATCAGCTTACCCTGCGGGAAGACCTTCTTTTCTCTGAATTCGCGCAAGACCTTATCCTCTCCTTCGACCGCCAATGCGGCCAGCTCTTGATACTCTTCGGTTGAGAGCTCATGGAACCACAGGTCATGAGCATCAATGGCGGCGGTGATGTTCTCTGCATCGGCGAGATTCCCTTGATGCAATGCCGTGAGAAGTTCTTTGGCAACCTTGCCGGTGATCTTCTTCTGTTGCAGGTGGAAGAGAAGTTCTGCGAGAGACTCCACTGGAACGCGTTCACATTGTCCGTCAGGACTGACCTCGAATGGCGTGCTTTCATTGTCGGAAACATCGTCCACAAGACGCCCAAATTCGTGGAGGATCCAGTTGGCTGCCAGAGGAGCATACGCTCTGACATCTAGTCCACCCTCTGTGCCCTGCTGCAACCGAGCTCCGAAACTTTCGACGACATTATAAAAGTACTCGATCCGGCCGCCATTATCGAGAGATAGGAGGGAAAGTGCATCCTTCGCCGTGAGGCCGTAAACGTCGGCGAGTTCGGATAGCTCATGATCCGGCAAATAAGCAACTGACTTTCTGATGTGATCAACCAGATCATCTGCAATTATTAGAGGGCCCAGGTCTGGATCCGGCATGTAGCGATAGTCCACCTCGCCCTCCTTGCCGCGCAACCGGCGGGTCTGCTTCGTTCCCAGGGTCCAGCCCCGTGTCTCGCCTGCGATGGTCCCGCCAGCCTCAAGCTCCTGGATCTGACGATCTCGCTCGGCGATGATGGCGTCCTCAACAGCCTTGATGGTGCTCAAGTTTTTGATTTCAGTGCGGGTTCCAAGTGGCGCAGATGCGTCGCTTGTTCTCCTGACAGAAACATTGACGTCAGCTCGCAGGCCACCCGTCTCCATACCGGACACACAGGCATCAACGGCGTTGAGCAGAGTTTGCACCTTGCGAACGAAAACGGCAGCTGTGCGAGGGTGATGAAGCTCCGGCTTCGTTATAATTTCAATCAAGGGCACTCCTACACGGTTGAAATCGAGCCAATGTGTGTCACCAGGTTGCGCCAGAGTCTTGGCGGTGTCTTGCTCCATCTGGACCTGCTGGATACCGATCGTGACGCTCTCTCCATCTTCAGGGGCGATGCCATCGCGGGCGAAGAGCGTGATGTGTCCATTTCTGGCGAAGGGCTCGTAGTATTGTGTAATCTGGTAGCCAGACGGCTGATCCCACCAGAAGTAGTGTTTCCTGTCGAACCGACTGATAGGCTGTATGTCGCAGTTCAGCGCGAGGGCAGCCCGTAACGCTGGGATCAGAGTCTCCTTCTGTAAGAGGGGCTGGCTGCCAGGCATTGACAGATCAAAAAGTGCGACGTGCGAGTTCGGGGCGTCATTGAAGGAGGTGGCGGCTGGCGAAAAGAGTTTCCGAGCCGTGTTAAGTTGCGCATGAATTTCAATGCCGACGGTCAGCTCCCAGCCATCAACCGTCTGATTGGAGCCCTTCCGGTTGTCTTTCTTGGCATTCCTCTTCAATTGTTTCGCTTCGTCTTTGAGCTTCTTCCGCAACGGAACAGATGGTGCGAGCTGGGTGGGCGTAGCCGTGGTTGTTACAGTGTGTGCGTGTCTGGCCTGTGTTGGCTGGTGTCGGTCATGTGGCAGTAGAGGATGGCGACCCAGTTGCTTGGCTCTGCTTTTGGACACCGACGACGCCACGCAGCCTCTCTGGCATATCTGGCCTTGGAGCAGGTATCGCCCGAGTTCACGCGTTGGTATACGCGACATGGTGGGGGGGGGTTGCCCTGAGCAGCTTGGGCGACAATGTCACTCGATAAAGCAGGGCGTACACCAGCCGGATCTCGATGTCTCGGACGCCAGGTGGACAGCAGGAGACGAGCAAAACGTCAAGCAGGTATGTGACACACACTCAGCGTGGGATGTATGTGGCCTCACAGCATTGGCCCCGGATCGCAGCGGTAATGATTGGGTGGTCGTCGGAAGTGCTGCTTCGGGTTGCAGATTCGGGCGGACGGGTCGTCGGGATTGGGCGGACGCTACACCTAAGGCCGCCCTGAGTGGGGTGCCAGGCCTTCGACTCGACGGTTGAAAGGGGTTCACGGGGCTCGGCCTCGTCTTTATATGGTGAAATGAAGCTAAGGTTGAGCCTCCCAGAGCCAGGTTGAGGTAGCTCGAGATTGTCCGTTGAGCTAAAAGGCTCTGTTGAAGGAACGCGGGAGCATCCGAGGGCCAACGCGACGGCAGCTGGTGGAAGTTGGGCTGACATAAGCCCACCGAAATAGCACCATGGCGCCTAAGATCCCCCGGACCCACCCAAGCTGCACCATGACGCTGTATTGGATCAGACCAAACGCCCCGTGGTGCTCAGTGCGACTGCTGCGTGTTCTAAGCTCGCCTTGTTCGTTGAGAGCACCCAGTCATAGAGGCCCGGCAGCTGGAAATGGCCCCTGACTTCCGCCCCCCTTGTTGGCCCCCTTGTGTTGTCCTCCTGACACCAACACCTCCTGCTGTCTTCTGAAACATCTGCTCCGGGGGCGCCCTCCTTGCGTACCGGTACCTAAAAAGGTAGCATTCCTTACCTATCAGGATGTACCAGGAAGGGTAGTGCGTAGACGAGAAGGTGCAAAGGGGTACGCAAGGCAGGACGCACTCGACGCGAGGAGCAATGGCGCGGCTGACCGCAGATGGCTTTTAATGCGTTGCTTGTCCCCCCCTCCATTCGCAAGATCACCCCTCAGTCTTTCAATCCTCTTGTTCTTCAGATCTGCTTCTATCTGACATGATTACCCACGAGATAGGTTCCCGGGCTGCTGTCATGAAGCGCTGATTCCACCTTCTTCGACTTTTGTCGCCTATCTGTATCATCACTCGAATTCCGCATCGTCACATCAAACAACCTTGCCCTGGCTCTACCTTTGTATTCCAATCTGTACTCTGCCCTCCCTCTGTCTCCTCAATAGATTCTTCGTTGAGGACGACCCACATGATCCGTATCGAGTCCTTGCACCATCAACGTTCCTGAAAGCAGCCCGCGTCGAGGTTCACTCTCGAGAAGTGTCGTCCGATCCATCCATCAAGTAACGCACAAACCCTTCAACTCATGCCCATACATTGAGTCGAGATATCACCCCAATACCGCCAGCCATTTGTGGAAGCCTGCCCCGGGACGGCCAATCTCAGCAGTCAAGAACAACCTGACCACATGATGAACCAGTCCGCTGGTGTCATTGAACACCCTCCGTCCTCGGCGTCTACCAGTGACACCCAGCCTCAAGACCCAGTCGCTGAACTCCAGACGTCGAATGCCACACTCGTGGCTCAGGCTCCACGACGTCGGTCACGGACCGCCCCAGTACGCAGGACTGCTTCTGTTCCGGCGGCCGGAGACCCCGCTTCCTCTCGTATCAGATCGCCGGACCATTCGCTCTCTTCGTCCATGTCAACATCAAATAAGCCTGCTCAAGACGCCAAACTACATGCTCCAGCTCCAAGACCCCCTTCTCCTTCCACGTCTACTCTCACAGCCTTCACAGCCAAAACGAGCGGCTCCGGGAGCTCCAGCGGCAGCGCCTCTACTATCACCCAAATACCGGCCAGCAATCGCCGCAACAGTGACAGAGATCGCGATACGCACAAGCAGAAGATCCGTCCTCGCGACAAGCAAGCCAGCCATCCCCCCGAAATCCATCAGCGGCCCGATGTCATGAGCTTCCTCCAGCCTGGCTCACCTCTTGGTACAAGGCAGCCAGTCCAACCAACGCATGGAGATATGCCATCGTGGCAGTTGGCGGATTTCCCAAGTCGTGCTTCCCCGACAAGGAGCACCACTTCATCTGGTGCGCCGAGCATCCATAGCGACGTGTTCTCAGAGCCAGGCCGCGGCCATGAGACCGACGGGACTCTCAGCAGCCCGGACCGAAGCGTCAACGAGGATTGGCCCAAGCCTATGATGGTGCCAGCGGGCGGGACTTCAACAGCCTCAAGTTATCATCAACGTCATCAACAACCGTCCATGTGGGATGCTGGCCCGATGATGCCCCCGGCACATATTAACCAGATCCACGATGGCCCTCCTAACGGCATGCAGTCACAACCACAGTATCTACCCTCTTCATTCGATTTCATGCAGCACGGGCGACCTGAGCACATGCCTATGAGTGGCTACGAGCTATTAGCCACGAACTTGTCGTCAAATAGTATGGGTGGGCCTGTGATCAAGCCCATGTATCGACGGTTCGAGTTTTTGAACCATAGGCTCTTGCTGCACTTGCAGGATGAGCTTGCTGAGCTCGAGGAGCAACTACGTCATTTGGATGCTGCCGATACACAATCTCGTCAATATCATCAGGGCGTCCTCCCCGCATCAAGGCGCCAGGAATCTACCTCGTCAAAAGATCTTCACTGGTGGAAGATGGACCTCCTCGGCAAGATTGGGTTCAAGCTCGAACTTTATAGTAGGTCGTGAGCCAAGCTATTTCATTGACGGCATCTAACCGGAACAGATAAGACCCTCGTCTCGTTCAAGGAATCCCAAAACCTCAGCGCTCCTGCCCCTGTGGACATAGACCGATATCGCGACTACCTCAACAGTCGCCAACCTATAGTTGAACCGGAAGCCAGGTTTCTCGATCCGGAAGATGACCTCGTGTCGCTCGCCAGGCCTCATAGTACTTATCAGGCACCCGAGTCCTTGTCGGATGACCTCAAAACTCCTATGCCCCGGACTATGGTCTTCCCGCCGACGCCAAACAGTCC